GTTGGTTATTATACAACCTTTGACATTTGTGCAACCAATACAACCCAATCTCAACCGTCCATTTCATTTGATTAATATGTGATTTTATAGAAGTTTTGTTTGTTTCATAATATAAAGTATTGATCATAATTAATAAATCATATTCATCTTCCATAAATATTCAAATAATAATAAATGAACTCTCATCATTTCCATAAATATTTCAATATATTGGATTGCATTGGTTGTACAAATACGATGGATTGTATTTGAAACAAACTCTATATATATATATATATATATATATATATAATAAAACACTAAAACATTTATGTTATAAATGATTATAATTTTTAAAATAATTAATGGAAAAGGAAAAACACATAAAAATGGAAACATGTGAATTTTTTTTATAAAAGAAAAGAAAAGAAAATTGGATGGAATAAAGTGATAGGAAAAGAAAAAGCATGAATGCCTATTTCAGACAACTCTTTTTCTCAAATAAAGAGCGTTTATTTTTTATTATATATATATATATATATATATATATATATTAGAAGGATGTTCGTATAATATAACGAGATAATTTTTTTTTTAATGTTTAGTTTTTATTTTATCTCTATCGATATAATACGATTTTATGTGATTTTGAGAAAACCATAACGTTTTTATTTTTTGATGAAATATAAATTTGAAGATAGCATAAAAATTTGCAAAAACAAATCGATATTAGTATCAAGTTAACTATTTAATAGTTCTTGTTTTTTTTGTAACTTCTTTAATTTAATTTTTATTATAAATTAATTTAGATTTAATAACAAACTAATTTACTTTGAAAGTTTTGATTGTTTCATAATATAAAGTATTGAGTATAATTAATGAATCATATTCATCTTATATAAATATTCAAATCATAATAAATGAACTTTCATCATTTCCATAAATATCTCAATTTATTGGGTTGCATTGGTTGTATAAATGCGATGGGTTGTATTTGAAACAAACTCATATATATATATATATATATATATATATATGAGCTTCGTTCAAATACTAACCAATATTTTTGTGTTAACTTTGTTAACCAATCTTGGTCATTGATTCTTACAATAAAAGGTTGTGATTAATCATGATAAAAAATCAAAATTTTAAATTTACAATTTCAAAGAACATATGTGAACAAAGGGGAAAAGGGTATTTAGGTAATTTTCTTTTTTATGTAACTCCCATATCATTAATTAAGAGTTACAAAATCAAAAAATCTCATTATTTTTATTAATTTATTTTTTTGTTAATGTAAGAATCATATGAACACACACACACATATGAACCATTGAGTCAAATACGAACAAAAATTGTCATATATATGAACTTGGACTGTATATCATTTATGAACACAATATGAATATAATAAAAATAGTTGTTACACGAAAGTAAATAAATAAAAAAACAGGTATGAACACAATATGAACAGTTTGTGAACAATAGTTCATTCATTATGAACACATTCATGAGCAAGTCAATGTTGAGATATGCAGCTAGTGTACATATGAACAGTTTGTGAACAATAGTTCCTTCATTATGAACACATTTAAGAACAAGCCAATGTTGAAATATGCAGTTAGTATACATATGAACACAATATGAACACTTGTGAACAATTCTTTAACAATTACATATGAATTCGAATTCCGATTGTAGTCGTAGACGATTTTAACCTTTTTCATTTTCATTGTTGTCGATCTGTTTTCCAATAGGTTTATCCATATTACTTGGACGATATCGAAATCTTTACAATCGGAAATTCTTTAACAATTACAAAATCAATGTCATTATGGATAAAATAAATCGAAATTACAAAACATGAACACGTATAAAAAAATATCAATATTACATAATCATCAATTATTGAGATTTTTAAATTTGTAACTCCCAATTAATAATTTGAGAGTTACATAAATGACAAATTACTTAATTACCCTTGTCATTAATATATTAGTTATATGTGAACCTAAAGAAAAGATTAAAAATATGATTGGTAGAGCTTGGTTAACACAAAAATCTTGATTAGTATTTGAACCTACCCTAGATATATATATATATATATATGTGTGTGTGTGTGTTTTTTAATAAATAAGATGATTATTTTATACTTAAAAAAATAGATAAAATATAAAATAAAAATAGGTAGCAGGTAAGTTGGATGCAAAAACACAAAGGGGTTTATTAGTGGTTATGGGAGGTACAAATTAAACCCATGTGGTGTGGATGCACATTCAAAGGACATCTAAGGTTGACATTTTTACCAAATGCAAGAAAACATGATTGGTCAAACAAGTTGACCTCATTCTCTTTCTATTTTTATTTCAATTTAATAATATTAAAATAAAAATAAAATCTCATTAATTCATTTTTTTTAGAACTAACTACCGTGTGACTTACATGGAGCCATTTATTTATTTAGATGTGTAATCATTTAATTTTGAATTTAAGTTATATATATAATATTTAATTCATCATATTACTAAATGACGTGTGTATCCCAAACTTAACTTATAATCAAAGATTATTGCAATGAATTATATCATGGACCAATTTTTGAAATATTTTAAGTACTTTTGAGATCAAACACTATTCAAAATAGTCAATGTGATTAAGGGTAAATTGAATAAATAATAACCTACTTTAACTTGATTGTTATTTTGAGCAACGTATTTTTAATATTTCCATTTTGGTATTATATATGTAAAGTTTTAAACATTTAGGTACTCGGGTAACCGGTTGAAGTATTAACCGGTTACCATGCTGATGTACCGAGTGATGCTATTCAAACCAATTTCATCTTATCACTGGCCGCATCAGCATGGTAATCGATTATCCGAGTACTTAAATGTTTAAAATTTTGCATGTATGGTACCAAAATGAAAGTTTTAAAAGTACGTTACCCGAAATAGGAATCAAATTAAAATACTTTATTTTTTCATGCAATTTGCCATTCAATTAATAAGAAACATTACATTTTAGAGATCACTAGAAAGGTACTTGTGCAATGCAGCGAAATACATCTCGGTTTTAAAGTTTCGTTTTATTCTGTCTCATGTTGATGTTATAATACAATTTTATTTGGTCTTGAGAAAAATGATAATGTTTTTATTTTTGAATAAAATACAAACTTGAAGATATTATAAATTTTTTTAAAAAATATATGGATATTAGTATCGAATTAACTATTTAAAAGTTATTGTTTTGTAGTATAATTTATTTAATTCATTTTTTTGTAATAATTTAATTTAGATTCGATCATAAAATAATTTATTTTTAGTTTAATAACATAATTTTTTATATAAAATAATTATTAAGTATTCTGTTAGAATATGATAATTATCATAATTATATTTTAGATTTTTTATATTTAAAATAAAATGTTTATCCAGTATTTAATTATGTTTATCTGTAGCTAGTTACACAAATTCAAACATGAAACTTTAACAAGTTATACTTATATATTATTTACTTGTAATCTTGAATTTCAAGTAACATAATCAATAAACAATACTTCATATATAAAAAATGGGTTTTAGGAGTTTTTGTCAAATGCTTTATAATACAGTATAAAATAGATATTAATTTTAAACCTTAAGTAAATAATAAAATCATATATTTGATCAGCAATTATTTAATTTTTCTTATTTATCTAATATTATTCTTTTGTTTAAATGGTTGTCGCTTAAATCTTAAACAATTTTTATCGTTCTCTCTTTATTCAATCAGTTGTTTTAAACTTTTTGATTAAAGTATAAAGTGATTATTCCAAGTGTCACCATAATTCCTATTATTATTTTGACCACTGTCGTATTCAAAACTTTACAAAAAAAACAAAAATAAATATAAAATCCAATAATAACTTACATATGTTACTGCAAGAGTCATGTTAGGAATCGTTTACTAAACGCTTACCTGGTAAGTGTTTACTGAATAATTTTCCTTACCGGATGAACGTGGCAAGGGTCAAAAATCTTACCCGATAAGAGCAACGATAAAGATGAAGAGTCTTACTCGGTAAGTGAGGGTGACATAGTTTAGCATTTTCTTATAGAATCAGCTGCACGTATTGATGGAAGCCATCAGATGTCTTGTTCAAAGGTTCTTTCTGGATAAGAACTGAACTCAGCTAGTGGTCTGTGTAGCTGAACGAATCAAGAAATGCAATTGCATTAGAAGACCAAACCTTTGAATACAAAGTTGTAAGTTGATGATTAGCAAGAGAAGCTTGTTTTGGTGTAAGATAGGCGGTTGCCAAGAAATCGTCTTGACGCTTGTGAACAGAGAAACAATGCGTACGCATATTAAAGCATCTTTCCATGTGCCAATTTCTCCATAAACCTGAATTAGCTTAATTTACATGTGTTCTTACAGCTTACTTACTTGGAAACAACGATTTAAAGAATGACAAAACTTGGTCCTTTTTTACTTGTATGTAAATTAGCAGCTGTTCATCTGCTAAACAATACTGAAATTTCAGTATCAAGTATCAACTTGTAGTTATTATGAAAGTTATCAATTTACACACTCTTCTTTCATGCAAAAATACAATCGATTTGGTCTCCAAAACGTAATCCGTTATGGAAGTAAAGTAAGGGTGTATAAAACAAGGTCAAATTGCAGATGATATCTGCAAGAAAGCTAGCTCAAAATTCCATGGATAAAAAGGCTGGCTACTTCTGTAATTTAACATCAACAAACAAATGGGAGTTGAAGATGTTGAGGAGAAGCAACTTTCATGGCTTCCACATTGAACTGAGCTTTCTTCCTCTCATCACGCAACTCATCCACTAGTTTCTTTTTCTTTTATCCGGAAAGAAAAGAAAATGAAAGCCTTAAATATATATATATATATATATATATATATATATATCTATACTATCTTATAAAGCATTTGATTAAAATTCTTAAAAATCTATTAAAACTTTTAAAACTCTTAAATCCTTCTCATATCTGAATTCGAGTAACTAACTGCAGATAAACACAATCAAATACAGAATAAACACCTCATTTTAAATATAAAAAATCTAAAATATAATTAGGATAATCATTGAGTTCTAACAGAATACTTAATTATTATCTTTATATATTGTCATATTATTAAACCAAAAATAAATTATTTCATTATTAAACTTAAATTAAATTATATAAAAAAAATCTATACTATATTATAAAGCATTTGACAAAAACTCTTAAAAACTACTTTCTATGCGTAAAGTACTGCTTATTAATGCATATTACTTAAAACTCAAGATTACAAGTAGATTGTGCGTAACTACAACTTATTAAAGCTCCATATCTGAATTCGTGTAAATAATTGCAGATAAACATCTTATTTTAAATGTAACACCCTCATTTTTTTTATATGAGAATGCTACGTAATCTGAAACATATTCCTAAATAAATACTCCAAAAGACGGCTAAAATAAAACCGTTT